AAGTCAGTCTTGTAGTGAAAGAAACAATGTTTTTCATATTTTCGTGACAAGGTTCCTCTGCAAATAAAACACTGTCTCCAGGTGGACAAGTGGGAAACAAAATCCAGAGTTCTCCAGCTCATAAAAACGTAATGAAAGCAAGTCCACAAATAGGGTAAGTATATTCTTTAAAGAAATGTGCCAATGAGATGCTGAACGTTTGTAGAACTATACTTGACCTGCTCTCATTTCCATGGAAATCCGATAATAATGTAAGCAAAGTCCAACTAACTAGTCTGCATTCCTTGATGAGAATATTAGAGGAAATGGAAGGTTGAGTCAATGAATTATAGTCATTCATTAAATGGTAGTTATGTCATTTAAGTGGCAGTGAGAATTCTGAAAGCAAAAGCAACTCAGGATATGGCTTTATTAGTCCATGTGGTTGTCTTAACCACATTTCCCATATCTCAAAATATGACTTGAAGCTGTTTTGGGTTACAGATAATTATCTTAGCCTTAGAAAGGTCTCCTACTCTTAATCCATTCTTAAGCTCTCTCCCTCACAGCCAAAAAATTGGTCACATCACTTCTAATGATATCATTGGTCACTATTTGGTTTCCTTCAGAACTTGGGAAAGCTGAATTGTAGCCCTCTACCTCTTAGGAATTCTGCGACCTTTAAAGTAAATAGAAAGTGTTTATTTATTGGGTCATCCACTCTGCTGCATTTCTGTGGTTTGCAACCAAGCCTGTTTTTCACTTTTATTTAAATAGTCTATATCAGACATGTCAAACTCGCGATGCCATGTGACATTGCGCAACGTATCGGAGCTTTTTCGCCGTTGCCGGCAATGGGGTGGGCGTGGCACCGGTATGATGAAAAAGGCCCACGGGCCAGCAGTTTGACACCCCTGGTCTATATCAAAATGACAGAACAGTTAATCAGTGGAATAACCTGTCTCCAGAAGTTGTGAATGCTCCAACACTGGAAGTTTTTAAGAGGAGACAACCATTTGTCTGAAATGGTATTGGGTTTCCTGCCTGAGCAGGGGGTTGAACTAGAAGACTTCCAAGGTCCCTTCCAACTATTATTATTGTTGTGGTGGTTGTTAAATGTCTTATAAATGGATCAGTTCCAATGAATTAAGGTTGTAAATGGATTCCAACTATGAACAATTTGTAAATGATTTGCTGTTGAATATTCTTTATAAGCCTGAGATAACATTTCTCTGTGACACCATTGGCTGTGTTAATGCATATAAAATTACAAGTGATTTTCATTACAAGTTGGATGAAATGATTTTAAGAGATGTAATGGCGTCAGTTATTTGGTATCACCTGTCTTTTAGGCACCTTTAATCACTTTAGGAGTGATTACATTTTAAATTAATTCCTGCTACCTCTTGTAGCATTCCATATTATAGCTTGTGCAATTTTTTCAGCAAGATATAACATTTTCCAGGGCAAGACAAGATCTCCATCTATCTGTTGTGAGGGGCAGGTAGAGGAGAAAACCTATCCACTTTTTCAGGTTACAGCCCCAGATGTTTCATTTATAAGTGCAGTTAACATTTTAAAACAGATTGAGCTCAACGCTGCAAATACTGTATATTCTTGCTTTGACAGATATTTTGCTTGGTTCTACTTGGTAACCCTTGCAGTATCTTTTTAATGCTTTCTCACCTGTAGTGATATTATAGTTTTGAACTTTTTGAACAAAGAAATTTTGAGCCTGTTGATTGTCCTCCTATTTTTTTACCAGCTTGGAGATGTTTTCTCCTTTGAAGTAAAATATTTGATTGTGTTCAATTACTGGATATAAAGAAATTGAATAGTAAAATAGTTTGTCCTTATCCTCTAGATGGCAGCATTTAGCTTCTGTATAAGAAGTGGTTAATATATCAAAACCAGGAAATTTGAAGAAATTAGAAGAGGGTGATAAATAATTTGAGTTTGGATAAGTTCTAATTGTTCTGTCTTGTTGAGACAGATTGTTGAGTGAGACAGATAATGCTTTTAATGCTCAACAATATTTTTTTAATCTCTCAAACATTGTTTTGGGTTTTCTGTTTCTTAAATAATTTGATATTTAATATTTTTACGCTACAACTCAAACCAATGATAAGCACTTGATTTATATTAAATAGCATAAGAGTATGATTCTTCATTTTTCAAAAACACTGACTCATGGGCGTCAAACTCACCACATCACGTGACATGTTGCAACGTGTCGTAACTTTTTTTGCATTGCTGGAGCTGGGGTGGGCACGGCATCCGTATAATGCAACTGGCCCATGGGCCGGCAGTTTGACACCTCTGCACTAACTGAACAATTACATTGCAATGATATAAAATGACAATGCCATAAAAATGGATGGTGATTCTGCAAATTTTCTTTAGCAAACTATTGCATTAATACTACCAACAGTGTTTCTTAAAATTTATTAATTAGTGCCAGGCCCTCTACATTTTGTAATTGTTGTAATTGTGATGATAAACTCTTGATTTAATGGATAAAATCTGCTGGTGAACAGGGATATATGCTGGGACATTAGAAGTAGCTGAGAGAAGGCAAAAAGATAGAAGGAAGGGAAGACTGGGAAAAAATGGGATTGACTGGACAAGGGGATTTGCTGTGCTGTAATATCTGCAGCAGCTATATATTGGGAGACACGAAAAGATCACTGGAGTAATTAGGCAGATCAATGGAATATGCTGTGCCAGAATTTGATACAGGAAAATGAATGCATCTAATCAAAGCTTGCCATCCTTTTTAGGTTTAGGATAAACTTAAATTCTGGATAATTTTAAATCTGCATAATTCATTTAATAATAATATCTTTTAAGGGGGCCCATGAAACCACGGATGGGAGCATCTACTAATATGACACGAAGCACTGGTCCGGGTATGATGGCAAACAAAAGAAAAGCATTTGGTACTGAAACCTATTCAACCAGGTAAATTATATTTGAACATTTTGACTTTTAATTAAAATGAAGTAATTGGCAGAGGAAAGAAAATGATAAAAGTGAAAATACAGAAAAAGGCATAAAGGGCTCAGGGTTTTTTTTGTTTGTTTGTTTAAAATAATCAATGAAATTGAACCATTTCTCGGTGAAATGAGCATCTTGCACCGTGCAAGTAAAAAATTCTAATCTAATCCACATAGATATGGAACCAGACTTAAACTAGTCAAGTTTTTTGGAAAGTCTTTCATTTTTTTTCTCCCCATAGCTTCAGAGCCTTACTGAAATTAAAACTGTTCGTGTTCCTAATGGTCAAACTAGACACCCCACAGGAGAATTGGGATTATAGTGTAAGGTATATTTCCCCAGCCAATTTTATTTTGCAAAGGAAGTAGGTTTGGGGAAAGTCCTTCTCATTTCTGTTTTAAGTTCTAGGGGTGGCAGACTAAGCCAGATATTTTCTATTTTGTACTTCTCCATCAACGTGTATACTAACATACACATGCAACAAAATATACTCCGATGGTAATCATTAATTGTTCTCTGAACATAACTTTCTTAATTTTCACAGCAGCTCAGTGAGCAATATTAAAAGTATAAGGGATCCTAATACCCCTAAATTTCCATGTTTTCTTTGGTCCTTGGCTTCTATTTTATATGTGAATTTGTCAGCATTCTTAAGGACACATAAATGCTTGCAGGTAATACAGCTAAGTTAATTGATGCAATGTTTTCACTGAAAATGTGGAACATAAAACATTTTTCAACATATTAGCAGAATTCTGAAAAAGTTTATTTTGGGGAGGTTGTTTACTTGGGTTAAAAATCCATATATTTACTCTTTATTACTAAAAAGGAAGGAATATTTTAGAGATCACTGAAATATGTGTTTCTTTACCTAATCTTTGTTGTGTTTATTATTTTTAATTTTTAATGCTTGACATAGAGCTGGATTCGACAGTGGAGACTGTTCATCTGTCAATGGAGGAAATTCAAAAAGCAGTGAGGGAAATTCTCTTGCACAGTTACCAAAATTCTGTTATGAATGTGGTACCAAATATCCAATTGAATCTGCAAAATACTGCTGTGAATGTGGCGTTCGAAGAATGATTTTGTGAATACACCTCTAATGTAAAATGATAGAATTCTTGCTAAGGCTGTATGAAAATCTCTGCTACACGTTCCCACCAGGACTTGCGCTAAGACACTATACTAATGTTCTGGGCAATTATTTTTTGTTGTGAAATAATATATATAGATATATAAATATATTGTATATAAATGGTATGATACCTAAAACTGTGCCATTCAAGATAGTATACTTGAAATATTGTTGGAGAATATTTAATGGATCAAAAGTTTAACTCAAGCGCTAAGGGTTTTTGTAATATATACATATTAATGTTCTTATTCATTTGTAGTTTTTGCCCTGAATCATTTGGTCTAAAGAACATGTTGCAGTAGAAAATATGTTATACATGGAAATATTGATACTTGGTTGATAACCTAGATGATAGCTTGTTGGTTGACAGTCATAAATTTTATTGTTTGAATATATTTAAGGCAAATTGAAATTACTAGTTTCAAATGTATTATTATAGTTAACTAATTGGCATTTTACCCTTTTTCTTGTTCCAAAAAGCTATAACAAGTTTTTGTGCACAGATATTTTTCTATGTGAAAAACTTTTCACGTGTTTCATACAAAAAGACTGAGTTGCTAATAAATTAATTAAATTACCAAATATAATCATGTTCTTAGGATCAACTTCTTTTCCTGAAAAACAGGGCTGTGTTAAATTTTAAGACCTTGGCCAACATGGTCTAAGTTAATTTCCCACTTGATTGATTAATGTATCAACAAAAAAACATTGAATATTTTATAATAATTATGACAAACTAGAGTTTCAGAAAAATGATAACCCAATCATGATTTTTCTTTTTCCCATTACTTTGACTTGACCATTATAATTTCTTACAGTCTTCTCAAACACTCAACTACATTAGTATTAAGTTACTCTTTTTAGTAAGTCTCCATTTCCACAGCAATTTTTTTACCACAAAAACATTTATTTGTGCATTTCCCAAAATTAATCCATTAATCCATCCATTTTCAATCCATGTCAATTTGCAATTTTTACCTCAGTGATGTAGGATTGTTGCTTTATTTTTAATGCTATCTTTATTCTAGTCAAAACCTGCTTGCTATGACAGATGACAATTAAAAATGCATTTGAGCAAGATTTGTCCCCATTTTTCAGTATATTGGCTAATGGCAAACTGCAATTTTTAAGTAAAAGAATTAACAGGTTAATTGGTATAGAATTGTATTTATATCTTAGAATTCTCTTTGAAAAGCATACATGTCGTATTCTAATTTTGTATTGTTACCTAATTTTATGTATATTAGTGAAAAATCAATCTTTAATATCTTAATGTAGATTAGCATTTTTGTTTTTTTATTTAAAATACACTGGTATGGTGGAGCTTACATTACAAAAATTCAGAATGCGCTGCAGTTCTTCCTTGGTCTATTTGGACTTTGTGGATTCTACTCTGCTTTGCCTATTAACTGTTAGTGTAACTTAATATGCGTCTTAATCACTAAAGAACCCACATTTATTTGTATAAAGCTTTTCACATATTCCTGCAGGTGCTTTATTACATCTTATTATTGCATCTGTTTGATATGCTTAATATAATGAACTACTAAATAGTTACGTGAGCATTATTCTGATTAGGTACAGTTTGTTTTCCTAAATGTTCTTTAAGAACAAAAGCATTGTATAAATGCTTGTTCTATGTTACCTAGAATTTTGTTAATAAAACTTTTATTGTGTATATAATTGTTATATCTTAAAGACTATCTCTCTATTGGTAGTAAAAGCTATTAGGAAATAAAGTTATTAGGTGAAATTGAAAATAAAACATAATTATAAATCTTTGTATAAAACTATAGGAATAAAGAAAAATGTCTGAGGAAACATATGTAGAAATAACTCAGACTTTAGGGATTGTATTGGGAAATATTACCCATAGAATGAGCTGAAAGTATTAAAACAACGAGCTTTCCCAGGTATGTTTAAAGAATAGAAAAGGTGTATTGGCTGCTCAGTGAAAATATGAGTGGGAAACAAAGGCAGAATCAAGTAACTCCTACATTAACTTAAGTTTTGCTGAGAAGAGGATGTGGCCAGGTGCTGGCCTAGAGTGAGTTCTAACCCTGCCTAGATATAAAAGCCAGCTGGGTGTACTTGGGACAGTCACACTCTCTCAATCCAACTCACATCACACAATTGTTGTTATGGGGAAAATAGGAAGTGGAAGCAGTATTAGGTATGTTCACCTTCTTGAGTTACTTATAAAAATAATAAAGGTAGAATATAAATAACTAATTAATTAAATAATGTGTGTCTCAATAGGCAATTATTAAGAGCATACTGAAGGAACAGGATACTAGGTCAGGTTTGGTAGAAACATAGGAAATATCTGTTGGCCTTGAATGTGTTCACATATTGAATGCCAGATAGATTCCTTGTTAAGAGTAATAAGAAATCTGCTAACCATCTGGCCAAATTACTCATCTTTAAGAAATCTTAGAAAATGTGAAAAGAACCAGCAAACCAACAGTTCTTTAATTTTTAAATTAACTTTGATTGTGAAAGATTGGTCATATTTGTTCATCCTCATAGAAGCATCATGGCATCCTGAGTAGGAAGTTAATTAAGTATGGCATGTCTATTGAGTGGACATGGAAACCATAGTTAGAGAACATTGAAACAGTTCATCATCAGAGTGAAGTACAGTAATAAGTAGAATATTACAGAATTGTTTTGGTCCTTCTCCTCTTCAAGACTTTTGACTTGGATGAGGAAAAAAAATGGTGATCAGATGGATAAGACAATTAGTAAAAAAATAAAACAGAATTATTTGGATAGGTTAGAAAAGTGGCTGAAAATAGCAATGAAACTGAACAGAAAGATTTATTTTTACTTATGGAAAAATCACATGTACAGTACATTTGTTAAAATGTTAAAAATATTGGAATTGTGAGTAATCATAAGCTAAATATTAATAAGCAGTAATATTAAATATTAATAAGCATCTCCAAGACCCATTTTTGACACTTGGAAGTACAAATGTTGCCCCTGGCTGCAATATCTCAAAGTCACCAATCTCTTTTCATCGAAAATATGTGGCTGATTTAAGGTGCTATAGATCTTTATGCTACTTTTATGCTCCCTCATATTTTGCAGCTTTTAAGAGAAGCAGAAATCTGAAACATTGCACAGCCCTACTAAACAGAACTTGAGAATATGATGGGGCTGCTAAAAAGTCAAAATTAAAAACTGTAATTTTAATTTTCATCAATGTAAAATAATTTCCAAACTTGAGAGTTATAATTTTATTTTATTCAGTACTGGTTGGACATCTGGTAAGATAGTAATGTGTTAAGATGCAGGAAGTTTATTCCTGCAAGTTGAACTTTGTTGAAAATACTTGAACTGTCTGTAAGAAACAATTGGTAAGTATTAGTACTAAATGAATTGTATCTACTTGTAGAATGGGGGAAGGGGAATTGTCTGAAGAAACTACCTTCTCCTTCCCATCATGGAACAACATGCCTCTGCTGAACAGCCTGTCCTAGTTCCACTTTGTGAAGAAACACCTGCAGAACTGGAGATTGAGGCATCAAGTGATAATTTTTTTTAACAAGAACCCAGGGCTCTGACTGATATTCCATTACATTATTTGGTGAGAGAGCTATTCTTGTTCAGATTTATCTTCCGATTTGGCAATAATGTTCCAATTTTTGAATGTTTAATTTGTCAGCATAATGGATAGAAGGAATAATGCTGAGGAACAGGAGGAAACGCTGTAATCAAGATAACATATCAAAGAAATCTGAATCTGCCCCAGAACTGTAAGTTAAGAAAGCATTTCAGACATGATCCTACCCAGATCCCATTAAGATAAAGTAAGGGAGAAGGGGAGGACATTCAGACCTGGAAGATTGTTACTATAGCCTGGTAATAAACCATAGTGTTAGCTTGCATGTCTTCAGTTTCCAAGTTTGATCTGCTGACATCAATCTTGCAAATCTCAATCATTTCCAGTGTTAAGGAAATTTATTAGAGCTTTATTAGATAAGAAATTCTCATAAGTAATTAATGCTTTGGAATAACCATTTATCATTTCCAAGCAGGACGCTTATTCTTTATCTGAATTTAATTCTCAGTTCTCTCCACTTCCACTGGTTCTGAAAACTCAGTCTTTATTTCACCCTGGCTTCTTTCTCTTCAACTGGCAGGAAATTTTTATCATATCTATTGTAGCCTAACTTCAACTCACCTTCCTAACCTAACCAACCATTAATTATATTCTTTATCTATGCATTTTTAATATTAAAATATTATCCATTTTTTGTTCTCTATTCATAATATAGGTAGAGGTTCCAGCCCCTTTTTTATTGGGCTCTCCTAAGTGGCTGCCGTCTCATTTCCCCTTTATTCCCCAAGACTGCTGACAGCTGAAGTCTTGGTGGCCATAAATATAGTTGCTCTGGATACAACTCTGTTGCTTTTCTTCCAGAACTGGAGCTGTTTTTCCAGCCACTGGCTGAAAATATAACTGAGAAGCTGCTGGTTGCCTGACACTTCAAGTGGTGGGATATGGTGAGAAGAAAGGAGAGATTATCTTTTTTACGTCCATCATCCTTCTCCCATCCTAGTCCCTGCGACTGCTTTCATCCAGTCTGTCATGAATGCTTTTTTTTACATTTTACTCTTCTTTTTCCTCATGCTTTCTTATAGCTTCTTACTTTATTACCGGCATTACTTTCATTGAACAACCACTGCCATCTTGCCATACTTTGAATCTGTGGTAGAAGCACTGGTTGAAGAGGAAGGGGCTCCTCTATGAAGAATAAAGACATTTTGCGGTGGTATTGACATGGATTAGTGATTGGTTAAATTTAACAAATAAGAATATACTCTCTCTTGAAGGATGGGATTTGTTATTTGGCTGGCAGGCATATTTAATATATGATAAAAAGGTGGATTCAAATTTCAAGGCTCATGTTTTAAGGAGTGCTTTATTACGAGTTTGGAAGAAATATTATTATAAATTAAATTATAAAATTCCTATATGGGCAGCTCCAGCACAGGTAATAGAAGGGATATCTAGGGGAGTTAATTTGGATAAAGTTTCTTATAAGGAATTACTTCGTCCGTTTGGACAAAGTTGGCAACTTAAATCATTAGCACATTTGAAACAAGAAAATATTGTGTATTCATGGTTTTATTATAATCAATTGTTAATGAGGTGGCGTATGGATCAAAAAGTTGGTATTACTATGCAGGATGAAAATTTGATGAAACAGATTAAAGACCAATCTCAAGCACATATTAAAATAATTTATAATGTATTGGTGGAATTGGATTCAGAAACAGAATTGGTTAAGGATTGTATGATAAAATGGGGTGTTTTATATGTTCTTGGCTAAAATAACCTTTGTACCCTCTTTTAAACCTAATCTTTACATTTTAAATGAGTTCGAGTTTTGAATTCCCTTTTAAAAATATTTTACAAAATATCCACCGTAGACCTAGGTCAGAAATTGTCTTGTATGTATTCTAATTTACAACCCAAGTGCTGGAGATGTGGAAACTTAGATGCAACATATTTTCATATGTGGTGGACATGTAGGGAGGTTAAAGTATTTTGGATTAAGATTTGGTGGAACATT